TTACGTCAGCATAAAAATTATTACGAGTACCTGCTTTCAGAGGCTATCGTGCGCCCGCTATCTAGCTTCAGATTCCCGGGAATGGAATGTTCAAACGGTCCCACAAAACGAGCCCATGCACGTGACGCAAATATTTATAGACTGGTACCTATCTCGAAATGTATACAAAGCTAATTAACCTAGTGTTGAGACCGCGTTGCGTGCTAGGGTTGTTGACATATGTAAACAGTCTCATTTGAAATGCAGATATTGCACATATTGGTGGAAATTAAGAATGTTGTGCGAGTGCATGTTCTATGACATATGTTAGCCTTACCATATCCAATTGGGGTTACGAAAGGAGTACCGGTAGAAGTATCAGAACGGGGCTGAGAAAATATGACAACGGTTGGTAAAAACATAAGAAATCCTCGCTGATGCGTACTCGCTGATCGGCTAGGTGTGTTTTCGCTCGTAGATCGAACGAGATGAAATCAGTGCGGTAGTTTGGCGTTGACGATGCTTTAATTGTGCACCGCGATAGCCGTATCATAACCCGTATATAGCCGTATCATAGCCGTATATTCCGTGCAGCGCTAATTAGCCGTATCATAACCCTGGTTAGATGCTACCGCTGTATCATGAGAATTCAATGTCGTAGATTGATCGGAAATGGGGCTAGCCGCCCGATTACAGTAGGTATGAGTAATTTCGATGCTGGGGAATCTGTCAGGGAGCGAAAGCGATGCACCAGTGGTGGCTTTCGATGAGTAAACCTGTCCATGACAATACATTTCGGCCGAGGTTGGTAATGGTTGGCAACACTGCGTTACGGACCGATGGACAACTGAGGGGCATCTTCGGTGAGGCATGCACTCACAGGGACGATGCAGCATAGCCTAGAGCCCGACAACTCCTCAGCATCTGTGACGTAGTGCGAAGTGTGCACTTAGCGTTTCGGAGTAGGATGGAGGAAATTAAGATGCCGATATGTGCACTAAAGGAATTTTGTAGCCGGCTCTATTAATGAATATTTGGCCCGGTACGTATGGGAGGGAATATGTGTCAAAATTCAAACGTTCAATTGATCGATTGATTGTTTAATTGAACAGTCAATTTAATCATTCAAACGTTCAATTGATCGATTGATTGTTCAATTGAAGCAATCAATTGATCAATTGAACGTTTGAATGATTAAATTGACTAATGTTTGAATGATTAAATTGATTGTTCAATTGAACGTTGATTGTTCAATTATTGAATGATTAAACATTCAATTGAACAATCAATTTAATCATTCAAACATTCAATTGAACAATCAATTTAATCATTCAAACATTCAATTGAACAATCAATTTAATCATTCAAACATTCAATTGAACAATCAATTTAATCATTCAAACATTCAATTGAGCAATTAAATAATGAATTGCCAAATTGAATCAATGAATTGGCAAATCAAAGGCACATATTGAATAGGCGTATTGAATCATGGAATGGAGCAATCGCCGAGGCTTGTATATCGGCAAATTAATCCCACATGCGCACAGATAAGAGACATGACGGAAAACTTGGTAGCGCACCCTTGCTAGGAACGCAATCTGCCGCCGTTTCCCAGCTAAGTGCGTGTACCCGCGTGTACGTGCGTGTACCCGCGTGTACGTGCGTGTACCCGCGTGTACGTGCGTGTACCTGCGTGCACCCGCGTGTACGTGCGTGTACCCGCGCACGTACACGCGGGTACACGCACGTACACGCGGGTACACGCTCGTACACGCATGTACACGCACGTACACGTGGGTAAACGCACGTGCACGCACGTACACGCACGTACACGCACGTACACGCGGGTACACGCACGTACACGCGGGTACACGCAGGTACACGCGGGTACACGCAGGTACACTCACGTACACGCGGGTACACGCACGTACACGCGGGTACACGCACGCACGTGCGTGTACCCGCGTGCACCTGCGTGTACTCGCGTGTACCCGCGTGTACGTACGTGTACTCGCGTGTACTCGCGTGTATCTGCGTGTACCTGCGTGTACGTGCGTGTACCCGCGTGTGCGGGCGTGTATCTCCGTGTACCCGCATGTACGCGCGTGTACCCGCGTGTACGTGCGTGTACGTGCGTGCACGTGCGTGTACCCGCGTGCACGTGCGTGTACCTGCGTGTACCCGCGTGTACGTGAGTGTACCCGCGTGTACGTGCGTGTACGTGCGTGCACGTGCGTGTACCCGCGTGCACCTGCGTGTACCCGCGTGTACGTGCGAGTACTCGCGTGTACGTGCGTGTATCTGCGTGTACCTGCGTGTACGTGCGTGTACCCGCGTGTGCGGGCGTGTATCTCCGTGTACCCGCATGTACGCGCGTGTACGTGCGTGTACCCGCGCGCACGTGCGTGCACGTACACGCGGGTACACGCACG